CTTGGCAAAAAATACGTTGACCACCGAACTGAACTTTTGCCTCGCCCGACGATACACCTAAATAATTCAGATGAAATAAATAAACTTGATTTTCTCAGTTTTTGGTTTCCATTTTCTCTTTTTGTCTTTATAATGGAAGCACTTCAATTTCAATTAAAGATTACCACTATTTTTAAATATCACATAACAGTTGTTGCAACCGATGTAATAAAGATGTAAATAATAGTTTTATTATCCTCTTTTGAACTTTTGCCGATTGATTTACTTCGAATTTTTCTGCGGAGTCTCTAAAACACATTCTGCCGTGCTAAGGAAGAACGCCGCATGAGCCTTCAAACATTGCCATGCCATATATCCTTCAATAAAGATTGAATTTACCGGGAAAATGTTGAATATTTTTCCTCCAAATTTTCAGACAATATTGTTCTCAATTTAATCTGAAATATCTGAAAAATCCTAGGAAAAATAAGCATAAATTTCGTCAAAAATAAAGTGTTTATCCGAGGGAATTTAGCAACTCTCGAATGTTCATACGGCGTTCTTCCTCAGTTCGGCAGTATTGTCTTTGGGTGCGATGTGTATTGCATGTTGCCTACCTCGGACTTTGCGGAGGGGCTCGACTTCGGCGGTGGCGGTGCTAAGCGCTGGCGTCGCGTCGTGATACCTGGCGGCCCCGTGCCTCCGGTCCCAGACCTGAACCTGGTCCTCAGTTTCAGTTTCGTTGTTCACTGCCCCCCCCCCTCCCTTTCCTCCTCCCCCAAACGCCGTGTCATCCGCTTTTTATCTGTCTTTATAAATATTCTAATCGCGGCTACATCTGGAAACGCACGCCGCACCGCACCGCGCCGCGCCACAAAGCAAAGGGCTCCGAGAGTTGCTCCCGGAGCGGCGACCCCGTGCTGCCATGTTTAGGCCATGTTTTAGGCCAAGGTTTCGGCCAAGGTTTAGGCCAAGGTTTCGGCCAAGCAGCGCCAGGGGTGCAGAGTGTTCACGAATGACAGGCCGATCGGTTGTTCGCGAACTGTGTAAGGCAGTGGAAAAATTGCGTAGGCTACGAACTTGATAAAGCTATAATATAAAATGTATTACGTTTTGGTCAAAATGCTTTCCATATTTTTGCGTGCACCTTCCAAAGTTGTGTACACACGCTGCCCTACGCTGTCGTGCTAAGAGAAAACGCCGTATGAACATTCGAGAGCTGCCAAATTTCTTCTGATAAAAAGTTTATTTTGGATGGAAGTTTTGCATATTTTTCCTTGATATTGCCAGATATTTTAGATCAAGCTGCGAACAATATTGTCTGAAAAATTGGGGGGGGGAAAAAGATTCACAACTTCCTCAGTAAATTAGTACTTTATCAAAGGAAATTTGACAACATCCGAAGGTTCATACGGCGTTTTTCCTCAGCGCGGCAGTGCGCATTTCAAAGTAGCGTGCACATCTCGAAACTTGGCGCGGTCCGCGAGTCAAGACCCGAGAGTCCGAGAGTGATACTAGAGATCGGGTCAAGATTACGCGATGCTTGAGGTATCTCTCCAGTTTTGCAGGCGCTACCCTCAACTATTTATTGCGCAAAAATTATGTCCCTTTTTACGGATCTGGTTACGGTTAGGAAGCAACACAACTCTTTCGCGTATCCACAAGAATGAAAAAGAATTTTATTTCTTTTTGCTTTTTCGACTTCCAAGTAAATAAAATTGCATATTCACGATGTGACGGAGAACGTGAATTTTTTTCGACTGACTCACGATCTTTCAGCATTAGTAGAAAAGTTGTATGGGGCGGAACGTGTGATACAACTATTTCGACTTCCAAGTAGGTAAACTTGCATAACCAGGAAATGAAGGAGACATTGAACTCCCTGACTCGGAGACTTTAACGGATGAGTAGGAAAGTTGGATGAGACGAAGCGCATGATACAACTATTTCGACTTCCATGTGGGTAAAATTGCATATCCACGAAATTAGGGAGAACGTTACTCTTTTCCGCTGACTTCGAGACTTTAACGCATGCCTAGAAAAGTTGGATGGGGCGAAACACGCGATACAAATATTTGAGCTCCAAAGGAGATAAAACTGCATATCCATGAAATGAAGAAGAGCATGGTATGTTATATTATCCCAACTATTCGGTTCGTCAAACCTAAATTCAAATTTCTCGTGAACGATGTAAACTAAAAACGATAACATCTTAGTTATGGGTTGATTTCAGTGATATTCGTCGCACAAATCGTGTTCTACGCGAAAGTTTGGTTAAGGAACATGTATTACACGGAGAAAAATCTATGGCATAAAAACCAATTAGAGCTGTTCATATGGAACACCACTAATAATAGTGAAGGCAACATATAATAATAGTGCAAATACCTTAGTTATTGTAAATATACCATACTATGGTATGAGCTACCACAGCATGGTTCATAGACCTATAATCATTAGTTCATAGAAAACTATTAATGGTGCTCCATACGAACCACTGATTGGTTTATAAGCCATAGCTTTTTTCTAGCGTAGAATGCGTTTTGTATCGTTTCTGCAAGTCCATTTGTCGCCGCGTCAGTTGGATTTCCGGAGCATTTTGATCCGGACGCGATGGAAAACCTGCGGGTGATGATGAGGATCGGTTGACAATCGTGAAATCTCGGGCGACCGGCACGCGGCGATTTGTCGGATCATTTTCTCTTTGCCCGTGGGCCCGGGCCCCATGAGCCGGGCGACGGGCGACGGGAGCTCTCTCCTCCTCTTTTAATTACATTTGTCACGAGTGTTGCATCCGCGACTCATAAATGTCCCGTCCACGCATGGCTGCTCCCTTCGTTTTGCTTAATTGCATCATGGCATCGCCGCCGGCGTTGCCATCCCTGCATGACCGTCCTCCCTCTCTTCGGGGGGCCTCGGGAAAACCCTTGGCACTCACACCCGAAGACAGTAACGTGACCGTCGACATGAAAACTCCTGGTGAATGAAAACACGATTGGACTCTATTTCTCAATAAGAGACTGCGATTTCCGGCTTATTTTAGAAACAACTTATGACGTGCTTGGAGGACATGTCGCATAGGTGCAGTCCAGGGTGGCATGAAACGTAAGAAAGAAATGAAAGATTGGAAATTTCAGTGAAATATTTCATGAAATTTCACGGGGCTATGATATATTTTATAATTTTCAGGAGCTAGAGTATGCAATCCACACTCAAACACACAAAAATAGAAGAAAGTCACAATTTTTACATTTTGCAAAACCTGGAAGGGGTTTTTCTTTCGCCGCTCTTCTGTCATCAGTACGCATCTAAATTTCCGCGTGAGCCCCAAAGAACATGGACTTAAATGTGAAACAGGACTCAAACGGAAATTGAGGTACGCCTTCACGTCAAAGCGGTGAAGTAGCGGTGAAGTAGCGGTGAAGTAAAATGATCTAATGTAGATGTTTCTGATTTGCCTAAAACAATCCATTTCATCTTAAGACGTTCAGCCTCGAAAATAGCACCAAGCATTCAAGCAACGTCTCTCTCTCATTCATGTTTTAAGAACTGCAAACTAGTGGTCAAAAACGTGGCCGGAAGCACATGACCCTCTGAGCATTTTACGGCAGCCAAACATGTAATGCAATGATGTCTTTCTACAATTTGGCAAATCTGCTGGGGATCCAGGGTGGGTAGCTGTGAAGACGTAGGGCCTTTCCGAGATGTTAGTCGGAGCTTTCACAGTCTACTAATCGGGCTCGTCGGAGTTTGAAGTAAGACGACGGTTTTCACGCCCGTAATTAAGCGTGGATTTCTGGCGTGGTGTCAGTCTTACTTAGCGCATCGCCGCCGCGCCGTCTGCCAAACTGCTCGGATAAATAGTAAATGAACCAAGGGACCATTAAACGCCCAATCAATTATTGATGATTCAATCCGTTTCTCTTCAAAATAGACGAAATTTCAACATTAAAAGCAAGTTTTCTGGGTTGGCTTAATTTGAAGGGGTTTCATATTTGTGATCATCCTGGAGTAATATGACCTCAGTGCTCAAAATGAGGCAATGAGCGATTTACTCAAAAACATGTTATACGAATATTGTTCATGTGTCCGTCATGATTGTTTGGAATTTGCTCTTCGAAAAGCGCAATTCTAAAAAAAAAAAAAAAAAAAAAAAAAAAAAAAAAAAAAAAAAAAAAAAAAAATTCTATGGTATTTTTCTGCCATGTTTGAGGCTTAAAAATTTGTAAGATTAGTTTTTAACTTTATGTCTCTCTATTGGGAAAATAGTTACTTGAACCGATTAATCTGTAAAATTTCACGGGAAAAACATGTACACAAAAAATCACACAACAGGAAGTCTGAAATTCAACTCCTAAATAAGATAAAAGTGTTAAAAATTAAAATTGGTTAAATGAAAAACCAAAAAATGACGTCATTGGTATATTCCAATTAGTGACGTCATTTAATGGGGGAAATTGCCGCTCCCACCCCCGCGTTGCAAAAATCCTAGATGAACGAGAAAAATTGAACGAATTGCTGAAAACTTAATTTTTTCCTCTACTCAGGCATCATGTTAGGAGTAAGTAAGGTCACTTGCCCCCCCCCCCCTTCAGTTACTTATTCCAACTATCAGGAGTTCCCTGTTCATCTGGAGTCCCGCTGAGTGAAACGTGTCCGTGGACCCTCTCTCGTGGCTCAATTTATGCGTCACCATAAAAATTTGAGTGATAGTGGATTTTTTAAGGAACTATATACATACATATGAGTCGCTCTTACAGCGCTCTTCGGCGCTCTACGACGCCCAATCGCCACAAAGCTCGGTCTTCCCACAGGTCATCAGGGAGTTGACACTCCCTCATCTCACTCAACACCCCCTATCGCCAACCTCTCACTGGGCGTCCCCTACGTCTCCTCCCAGGAGGAACCCAATCAAGCATCTTTTTTGGCAGCCTCTCTACAGTCATCCTATTGACATGACCATACCAGACAAGCTGGAAGCTTTAAGGAACTAAAATGTTGAAAAAGCAAACATGACTTACCTAACATTTTACTAAGATCAGCATTATGGAGATCGGGGTTTTCATCGGCGAGCTTTTTGCGCTCGACCTTGGCCCAGACCATGAAGGCGTTCATGGGCCGGCGTATCCTCTGCTCTTTGGTGGCTTTCTGTTGGTGGGCGTTGGGGCCGATCTTGGCGTTGATGGACATGGTGACGTCGCTCCCGCTGAGGTGCTGGTGGTAGTTGGCCAGGTGGCCGCTCCTGATGGGATCACTTAAAACTAAACCGTTGCCGCCGAGGAGGCTGCTGTTGGAGAGCCACGAGCTCATCTCGTCGCCCTGGAAGCGAGGCTGGTGGACTCCCGGCAGGATTTGAGCAATAGGAACACCGAGCTCCGACTCGGACGAGTTGTTTAGGGTATAGTTGTGGTGGATGTAACTCCGCTGACTGCTATACAGGGGGTGTTGATAGATGCTCGGCGAGTTGGCCGTCGAGATGAGCGGGGATTGCAGGTTGTTGCTCATGTAGCTTCCGTTCTGGTGCTGCTGTCCCGGCGACCCCAGAGCGCTGTGCTGGAGGAGCTCGGATTTATTGTACTCCTCCATTATCCTGAAACAGAAAGAGAGAAAAAATAATATTAGGATTTTGTGAATATACAGGGTGTCATGGAAATCATGCACAGAAAGACAAAGATCTCGCTGAAGTAAGTACAAGAGGAAATAAGTAAAGGAAAAACGGGAGACAAGGCTAAAATGGAAATACTAAAATCCTAGTAAAAATGCAATTAAAGAGTGGAAATTTTGCAACCTTGAAATGAAGTTGTGTTTTTTCTTCCGGGAAACAATGATTTGAAGGATTGTGATTTCGAACCACCATCCTCCCCTGTATTGAAATGGGAAACTATTGAATATTGCAAGATGTATTACCAAAAAACATTGCTTCCTTAACATCGAAACTTTGAGGCCTCGTTACTACTTCTGAGGCCAGAAGGGAAAACAGTAGATACTGGGACAGTATTCTAGACGATATTTATTGAAAAAATTGATATGTACGGTGATTGATGGTGATATGATATCATCTGGAAATATTTTTAAACGTAACGACCGAGAAAAAAATCATTCAAGTGATTGAAACAGAGAGAAAATTAGCACTCGAAGCGTTTATAGCCACATTAAAGTACCAGTGCTAATTTTTGCTAAAATCAACCTGCAATATTGTTCTTTGTCTCACGAGACATTTTACATCAATATCACTACAACACGCCCTATCAATAAAGCCAGGAATTAGGAGATATTCAAGCGAAATCGAGGGAACATCCCTTTGTGGGAAGGGAAAATCTTCTTTAAGACACAAGGGAAAGTTTGCCAGCGAAATCTGAAAATCCGAATTTCTGACCAAATTTGATAAAATTGTTCCGATGACAATTTTCTTCCGTGGACGAAGGTCCCTCTTCTCGACGGAGACGAAAGTCAGCCGTGCTCATACAGCTCATACAGGTATATCTGTCTGCCCCTTGAGTGCGTCATCCAAATTACTCTGAGGCGTCCTGCGTGGTTTCCGCTACCACACGCAGTTTCTCAGACAGCTCTGATGATGCATTGTCAGTATCAAACGCCCCCACATCAAATGCGAATGCAGACACACAAATTTAAAACGGTTCGTAATTAATTAAAATCAGAGTGTTTTTCTGCGCATGAGAGGATGTGGTTGTCGTCAAAAAGGCGAGTGCAGTTGATGTAGGTCTAAATATATGTTTCACGGTATGCCAGATTCTACCAGGCATAAACTTCAGCTAGTAAAGAACTGATTCATGAAGTTTGTTTTTTCCGCCGAAATTAAGAATATTCCGCATGTGTGACGAGCTTTAAAGCACAAAAACGGTCCTGACGAAACAATTTTAATGAAGAAAATTGTATATTTTATTTTTGCTAAAATTATTGTAAAATTTGTGAGATTTTCATTTTTATGGAAATAGAGTGTGTCGTTGAAACTTAAAAGTCGATTGTGTCAATTGGACTGAGTTCTACCGAGTTGCTATCAAAGTCCCTGATGAAATCAACTTGATAGCTCAATCTAGTACAAAATTCCGTCGGAATTTTGTGACCATGAATGTTTTGACTTGACTTTGACTTCATTCCGTGTCTGGACCAACCGATTTCTGTCGAATCACCGAATGGTCCCACGTCGAATCACGCTGATTTGTAACAGCGCGGTACTTGAATTTGGTGAACTAGCGGACGAGTGGTAAAATGTGGTCAAAACGGAGCAAGGCAAATACAGACTTGCAGAAAAAATGGAGGGAAGAATGTTAGTGATGGACGGAAAAAAGAGGACCTATGATGACTCCGGGAGCAATGAAATAATGTCAGTGGACGCAGATAGCACAGTTGCCAGTTTAAAATTAACTTTGGTATTTTCCCTATGCGGGGCCGCACTCGGGAAAGAGACCTGGTCATCAAGAAAAGTAAAATGGAGTCATTTGCGAGAGTAGAGATGAAAAAGAAAATGTTCCAGAGTGGGATTTCATTTTGCTGAAAAGTGAAATTTCAATTTCCATGAAATTGGGAAATGAGGGGCTGCTTGTATAGTTCCTTGCGCGCGGCTTTGTCAGGGGCTGCGTATGCGATTCGTAACAATTATTACCCAAGAATTCAATGAAATAAAATTTTTTAACGCGACTCGTGAACTTTTTTTATTTATTCATTTCCAGGTTAAGTAGTTATATTATTCGTTCTGTGAGTTTCATGGCATGCTCAGTCCATCGCATAAGTTTTAACACTTTTATGAAATTTCATAGATTATTCTAAAATTTCATTTATAAAGTACGATGAAATTTCGCGCCTAAGTAAGAATAATTAGAGGAGTATTTTGCAAACTTGTAGCATAACAAATCTTATACCACGCGCAGGTATAACTTTTCCAAGTTTGCGCGTTAAAGAAATAAAAAATGATTGACACCTGATATTGCAGCTGTGCAAAAAAGAAGCGGAAATTTGTTTTAAGAAACAGCCACTTTAAACGCATTTCCAGATATTTATCATTAATTTTTATTTATTTTTTTTTTTTTCAAAAGACTTTCAAATACAGCTTCGCAGCAACCCACTAGTATATCGTCACCTCCCAACCGAAGTATATCACAAGCACCATACGAAGTTTTAAAATTTCCGCCGCCATTTAATATTTTTCCGAGAAATTTTTGGTCGAATCTGTTTGAAAAATTCACTGGATTTTAGCAGCAGCATAAAGAAAATTCAGTGAAATTTTCGGATAGCCTCGTTGAAAAATTTCTCTGTAAAAAAATAAAGTGGCGGCGGAAATATCGAAACGTCGCATGGCGCTTGTGATACTTTGATCACAGGGTGGCGATGTGTAGAATCTGTTTTTCAATGATTTTTAATACATGTTTGGTTTGATCAGGCGACCAGCCTGAGTTCCGTCGTCTCGCGAAACTAAGATTGTTAGGATAATTATTATGAGGCCCACTGTGGCAGCAGACGACAAGGTCCGCACTCGGTGGCTATGACTCGGCAGAAGCCGGACATGATTATTGTCCACGGCGCAGCGTCCCGGTCGGTGAGACAAAGGGGTACATTGATCTCATTTGCACGGGGATATTCAAACAATTGTGAGAATGTCGGCTCCAAGCGCCGCCTCCGCAGAGGTTTTTCCTCCGATTCGAAGACGACCGCCTCCACCCGTTTTCCGGGGCGCTGATTTCCAGTGTCCATCCCACTGGTTCACAAGTTCATGCGGTCGCTCGCCAAGGCGAGTTTTGGTTGCGGAATCTACGCTGCCGCTGCCGTGCTAAGGAAAAACGCCGTAAGTACATTCGAGAGTTGCCAAATTTCCTCCAATTGAACGTATTTCTGCCAAACGGTACTATGTGCATTATGACGTGAGCTCTGTTATGCATATATTTTTATGGGTCTCAGGGCTCATGTCTTAATGCACATAGTTCATGCGGTCGCTCGCCAAGGCGAGTTCTAGATGCGGAATCTACGCTGCCGCTGCCGTGCTAAGGAAAAACGCCGTAAGTACATTCGAGAGTTGCCAAATGTCCTCCAATTGAACGTATTTCTGCAAAACGGCACTATGTGCATTATGACGTGAGCTCTGTTATGCATATATTTTTACGGGTCTGAGGGCTCATGTCTTAATGCACATAGTTCCGTTTGACAGAAATACGTTCAATTAAATTTTTGTTTTCGAGGATGGTTATGAATATTTTTTCTTGAAGTTTCTAGATAATTTAGATCTGACAGCGTATGAAAGTCTAAGAAAAATTGGAGGAAAAATGTTTACACATTTCATAGAAAAAATCGTATTTCAACAGAGGAAATTTGGCAACGTTTGATTGCTTGTACGGCGTTCTTCCTTGAAATGGCAGTACGATGCAGTGTTAATGAAAAAGGCAGTAACTATGAGATTTTCGATTTAATTTTTTCTTCAAAATTTCACTTGTCAAATTTGAGCTGAATCTTCAGGGCTTACTAATAAGAATTTTTCCACGCACCGATGGGTGTTAATTTCTGTAATTACGTTAGGCGAATTGTCGTGACTAGATTCGGTTCATTTTTTGGATGAATGAATGTTGGTGTTACCGTCGGAATTTAGACCAGTAAGAATCGAGTATTGAAATTCCAACCTAATCTAGAGGAAAATGAAGCAAATCCCGGCTTATCGCAGATCAAAGAAAGCAAAGTTTTCTCGACACTATTTCGTTCTGCCAAGGGGAAAAATGTTTGTGCCAATCACTTCAGGCCCTTTAAAGTGTCTCGAAGGAAAGAAAATTGCATGGAAAATGAGCCACATTTGACTTAAAAACCGTTCCTTAAAATACCCACGAATCGGTTATAGGACACCATGTATAATAATAAGACATCCAAACCGAAGCCCTGCTGTCTATTTCGAGCGCCGCAGTATCCTCGTCAAAACCAACACAACTTCACCTCATGCAAACTTCAATCGAAGCGACACAAGAGGATTCACTGATGAGCTTTGATGTCCATATGAACGTTTACATCCTGAGGCTCATCGAAATTAGAAAAAAGAAGGTTTCAACACCGACTGACACAACCGGCTGGTAGATCTTGCATTCAAATTTTTCCGCCCGCTTGACCTATTGAACCGCCGCCGCGACATCGTAGCGGCATCGGAATTGGAAATCAGTGCCACGGAATATAGAGAAACTGCCGTTTTACCGAAGCGAGTAGAGAGAAAAACGTGATTTTTGTCAAATGGATCATACAACGTGGCATTTACAAATTTCAATACCTAATATACAAACACAATTTAAAAAAAAATCCTTCGCTTAACGATCACATGGATTTATTAAATTCTAACACTCCTGACTTCTATCAGCTTACTGACAGTTTGGAATTCCCTCCCTCTCAAAGGATAAAAAGAAAGTTCGCATCTTTTTGGGAGATGTATATTTCCACAAGAATTCCGTTCAGTAAATGTAAGGTGATATTTAGATAATATTTTATCGAAATAGGGGGAGGGGTACCTGGCAAGCGTAACTTAATTTTTGGGGGGTCCAGCACAGCGTTACGGAACGTTACAGGGGGAGTGGGGAGTGTCACAAAATCGCAAATTTGGCGTTAAGT